CCTAGCTCTCTCCTACTCTAAGGTCTCAGTCTACGGATCACTTCTTCAGTCTAGATGAAGACCTCCTCCTTGTATATGTTCCTATTTTTAACATATACCGAGGCTGGGTGCGGTGGCTCACGTCTATGATCCCTGCACTTTGGGAGGCCGAAGCAGGTGGATCATGAGTTCAGAGGATGGAGACCATCCTACCCAATGTGGTGAAATTCCATCTCTACTAAAAATACAAAAATTAGCTGGGCTCAGTGGCATGCACCTGTAGTCCCAGCTACTCAAGAGGCTAAGGCGGAATCGCCTGAACCCAGGAGACAAAGTTTGCCATTGCACTCCAGCCTGGGTGAAAGAGTGAGACTCCATCTTAAAAAATATATATGTGTGTTGTGTGTGTGTGTGTGTGTGTGTGGCTTTTATATATACAGCTTTTATATATATAGCTTATATATCTATATATATCTTTTACCTATAAGACATATCTTATGTATCTATATATAGCTTTTATCTATATCTTAAATATCTTTATATAGATTTATATATATGATATATATATATGGTTTTTATCTTATACACATAAAGCTATATATATACATATATATAGCTATTATATATGCTATATAAGATATATATTTATGTATATATATGGCTTATTATGTGGCATAAATTTTTCTATGCACTGGCATATCCACTGCACTGAACAAAACAAAGTATTTACCCTGTGGAGTAAATGTTATAAACTGCCTGTGGAGTTTATAATCTAGTGGGGAAAAAACAAGCCTGTGTGCTCCATGGCTTGTTCAGGCGATCTGTGCACTGTACTCCCTTTCACAGGAACTCTTACACACAATAAATATCTGCTATTAAATAAGCGGAACAGTTTGGTATTTAAATCAATGTACACTGCCTAACTTTTATCACAATAAAAAAAATGTAGGCCCATCAACAATTAACTTAAGAAACACTACGTAACAAAATGCCTAGTGGAAAGCAAGCTAATGCTACGCTTATTTCTATAATGTTTAGCAATATCATGGGCCAGGCATATCCAAGACCCTAGAGGTATGCATCAAACAACACAGCCGTGAACAGAACAGATATGGTCCATATCTCCAAGAAGCCTGTGCAGCAGGACAAAAGGAATGGCAGGAGGTGATACAACCACCAGGAAGTTTCTAGAATGTGATTTAAGGATCACTTTGATGAACATGTGAACAAGAGATTATAAGGAAACTAGTTCTAAAATGAGTTACAATAGCCCAAGTAAAAGCAGACAGTAGCAGTGGAGACCATGAGAAGAGGTCAGATAAAAGATACATCACAGAGGCAGAACTTGGTGTTATGTACTATGTCTTATATTAGATCAGTGTTTCGGCTTGCTGTAAGTATTGTCTGGAAAAGCCACAGAGCTCCCTATTGTATAGGATTCAATCAGTTTCTACTTGGCCCACTACTTTAAACTTTAAGTAAGAAAATCTAGTTTGAGATCAGTGGCTCTCATCCCTGCTCTCCATTAGAATGAATATGAAGCTTCTGAAACATAGGGATTATTAACCATAGGCCTAAAATTCTAAATCGTAGAGATTGAGGTAGGTCTTCTTTTATTTCTTTATTTTTTTTTATTAACTACAGGTTGTGCCAATTCTCAGCTAGGGTTGAGAATTTTGGCTTGAAATTCTTAGAGATGAAATATGTAATATTAGATGATCTGAAAATATTCACGTAAAATGTTAGACAAGAAATATGTAAAACTAGACATTCTGAAAATATTTGTATAATTTGACTTGTGCAATTTCAGTAAGTTTATATAAGCAAAATTAAATTTCTGCTAAGGACAGAAAAATTAAAATCTGCAGCAAAGCCAAAAATCACTTTAGGTATAAAACCCAAAGACCAATCACATTTCAATACAAAAAAATAAATTTCTTTAGTTCTTTAGTTAAGTGACTTAAAATGTAATTAATCTCCATTAGTATATATAGCCTAAAGAGATTGTAATATCTTGCTAATACACTTAAATGCATCTTACAAACATTAAAGTCTGTAAGAGATCAAAGTTTAACTGTTAATTCTGCATTATTTGACACTAGACACTCAGACTGTATAAATAAACAAGACACTAAGCTATGTAGATTGTTAAAAGACCAAACAATTTATTAAAGGGATACAAGAGTAAAATATGAACCTAGTATAATCATTGGTAAGTTCATCATTAACAAACAATACAATAAACTCTAAATGATTTCAGGTGTCTGAATTCCTATGAAAACGAAATAAAGCAAACCAGTTGTAGAACAGGTAATCAGATATTCTTCTTTAACATAAACGAGGTTATTATGTATACATGAGGTTGTCATTATGACTAGAATATCTTTGACAGTCTTTATTTAGAGACAGGCATGAACACAGCTCATTGCAGCCTTGACCTCCTGGGCCCAAGTAATCTCCCTGCCTCAGCCTTCCATGTAGCTGGGACCACTGGTGCAGGGCACCACGTCCAGCTAATTTTTTGACTTTGTAGAGACAGGGGTTTCACTATGTTGCCAAGGCTGGTCTTGAACCCCTGGGTTCAAATGATCCTCCTGCCATGAACTCCTAAAGGGCTGGGATGACAGATGTAAGCCACTGAGCCTGGCCACAGTCCTCTTTAGTAATTCTTCACTAAGGCTGCTACATAGAGTGATCTAAATTCTTCCTGAAGTTTTAAGGGTTCTTGTCACTGAAAACTAGCCTTTACCCTTTATTTCTGAGAAAATCTTTAGACTGCAATGATACTGACAAACCGCTTGAGGGCAGCAACAGTGCATGTGCTTTAAAACAAAACAAAACACCTTTGGTTTTCCCCAATTAAGAATACTCTCTTATAGCCTAGGTGTGGTGGCTCAGGCCTGTAATCCAAGCATTTTGGAGGCCAAGGCGGGCGGATCACCTGAGGCTGGGAGTTCAAGACCAGCCTGACCAACATGGTGAAACCCCGTCTTTAGAAAAACAAACACAAAAAAAGAAACAAAATACTCTGTATAAAAACTGTTAAGCCAAAATTCAATTACAGATGTATTCGAAGATTATTCACTTGCAAAAAATAATAAAAATCTCATTATATTTTAAAATGTATTAATGTTGTTTTATGTATAAGTTGTGTACCTACTGAAGAATTAGGGCTCCACAGTCAGGGACTCCTATGCTGAAGGCCCACACACTTTTGCACTCCACTTCCCATCCCCAATCCCCACGCAATTTACAGGGCTCTTTCCACAAGCCCATGAGCCCCTACACTCATAGATCCCCATTTAGGAAATTGATGTAAGGTACCACCAGATTCTGAGACAGAACAGACACTCAAAAAAAAACTAAGTAACAAAAAAAAGATCAAAATTTCAAAAACAGTATCACGTTTTGTTAATGAAAAAAAAATAATTCCAATGACAAAGAAAACCAGCCAAATATGTACAAAAACGATACTCCTTAAAACGTCAATTTAAAAAAATGGTAAAACACCTGTCCACACTACCCTTCCTCTTAGAAACACAAATGGGGCAAGACTCAAGCAAAAAAAAAAAACCCGAGTAGTGGTGGAAGTCTACTCTGTTCTCTCCATACTGACCTCCAAATGGGATAACTTTAAGATTTATCGTATTGATTGTACTAAACTTCTCTCATTTCGGTAATTTCTTTATTCCCATTCCAATCCTGTGTGTAGACACTATCACCACCTCCACTTTGCAGATGAGAGAACTAAAGCGGAGAGGAACATAAAGCACTGCCCCAAAGTGACAAACCAGGATGCACAGAGGCGCTTAAGAGTGCAAAGCTGGAGAAAGCAGACAGGCAGCCCTCCTCATCACCCGATTCCACACTCAAGCTACTACGGATCAAAAATACTTGCAGTGGAAAAAAAATAAAGCATACCAATAAAAACTACAAAAATTTGAAAAATACAGTTACACAGTTGTAAACAACTATTTACAGATCACCTACATTGCCTTCGGTATTACAAGTAATCTAGAAACGATTTAAAGCACGGAAGGGTGTGCGTAATTTATATGCGAATAACTCGCCATTATATAAGGGACTTGAAGGAACTTGAACATCCAGGTGGCGGGGGGGAGGGGCCTCCTGGAACCAAAGCCCCGCGGATACCGAGGTACCGCTGTACTTAGAAAACCTAGTGACAGAGATTCTATGGCGACCCCGATCCCGACCCAAGACCATCATCTTGCAGATGCCATTCTGTGCCCAAGGCAGAGCCCAGCGAGGAATCCAGCCCTGAATCCCTACGCCCCAACAAGTCCCAACGCGGCGTTAAGGATACCGACCGCCAGGATCTTCCCTTCCAGTGACTCCGGGCTGACCTGCCGCCCAGAGCACTCCAGCAGCTTCCAGAGCCCCTGGACTCCCATGATGAGGCTGAGTCCTCAGAGCGGACCCCGACAACTTCTACTCTAATTCTTCCACAACCGGCTGCACTGCCGCCCGGGAGGAAGCCCTCCCTGCTCCTACACAAGAAGGATGGCAAATAATACAGAAGCCACGGTTTTCTGGGGGACGGCACCAACGGGAGCGCAAAAAAGGGGAGAGACGGGGGCTGGAACACTTCCAGCGGCTGACACCGCCTCCCGGAAGAAAGACAGGACCAGAGAATGGTCGCTGGCGGGGAGGGACAGGGCGTTGCCTCGCCTAGCGTTTAGTCCCAAACGTCTGCGCTTCTAATGGACGACCTGGGTGAGAGGACCACGCAGGCCACGCAAACAGCCGGAAGACGTACCTGCGACACCACGCGCCTTCACTGGTGCGTCCGCAAACCCAAGAGAAACTCGTTTCCGTCTAATACAACGCGCAGGGAGGAAGCCCCGCCTCCGCGCCTGACGTATATTTTTTTGCGCCTGCAGCACTCCGGAAGTGAGAAGTTTAGTCACAGGGTTGATCCCTGGTTGGTTGTCTGCTTCCGCTATGTTGGCATCCTAAAGGTGTTAAATATTAAAACAATGTGCAAAAGCGCCTTCTTGGTGGGGTAAGGGGGTTTTTTGTTTTGTTTTTTGAGACAGGGTGTCACTCTGTAGCCCATACTGTAGTGCAGCGGAGTGATCATAGGTCACTACAAACTGGACCTCCTGCTGCCAGGACTGAAGCGATTTTCCAATCAGCCTGTAAAGTAGCTGCGACCGCAGGGGCGCACCACCATGCTCCGCGAAATATTTTTGTAGAAATGGGTTCTCCCTGTGTTTCCCAGGCTGTGAGGTGACGATTTTCTACGCGCCTTTTTAGTATCGGTTTCTTATCGTTGTGCCGCCAGTTGCGAAGACACCTAACACTAATTGTTTTACACGTGAAGACAACCGAAAGGTGGATGCCCGCTTGGTTTTGTACTATTTATTTGTATGCTAGCACACAGTAACTAACGAGTAATAAAATTTAAAGCCTGTGAAAGGAAAATCTTGGGTATAAAGTTTAAAGCCTGTGAAAGGAAAATCTTGGGTTTCCAAAATTACTAAGCTAAAGGGAAAAGTCAAGCTGGGGACTGCTCAGGGCAAAACCTGCCTCCCATTCTATTCAATCCTCCCTCTGCTCACTGAGATAGATGCATATTCTGATTGCTTCCTTTGGAAAGGCTTATCAGAAGCTCATATGCAACCATTTGTCTCTCACCTACCTGTGATCTGGAGGTCCTCTTCTGCTTTTAGTTGTCCCTGCCTTTCTGGAAGTTCTGCTCTGATGTTATTGCTTGTCTTCTGCTAGATATTGAATTTGTTTGCTCTTGCTTCTGTAGTTTTTTTTTTTTTAATTGTGTATAGTTTTTTGTTTTTTTTTTTTTTTAAATTTTTTGAATGTGATGATAGGGTGTCGATTTTAGATCTTTCATGCTTTCTTTTGTGGGCATTTAGTGCCATAAATTTCCCTCTAAACACTGCTTTGGCTGTGTCCCAGAGATTCTGGTACGTTGGGTTTTTGTTCTCACTGGTTTCAAATAACATTTATTTCTGCCTTAATTTCGTTATTTACTCAGTAGTCATTCAGGAGCAGGTTGTTCAGTTTCCATGTAGTTGTGCAGTTTGAAGTGAGTTTCGTAACCCTCAGTTCTAATTTGATACTGTGGTCTGAGAGACTGTTATGATTTCTGTTCTTTTGCATTTGCTGAGGAGTGCTTTTCTTCCAATTATGTGGTCGAGTTTGGAATAAGTGTGATATGGTGCTGGGAAGAATGTATATTCTGTTGATTTGGGGTGGAGAGTTCTGCAGATGTCTTTTAGGCCACTTGGTCCAGAGCTACTTTAAGTCCTGAATATCCTTGTTAATTTTCTGTGTCATTAATCTGGCTAATATTGACAGTGGGATATTAAAGTCTCCCACTATTATTGTGTGGAAGTCCGAGTCTCTTAGTAGGTCTCTACGAACTTGCTTTATGAATCTGGGTGCTCCTGTATTGGGTGCATATATATATTTAGGATAGTTAGCTCTTCTTATTGCATTGATCCCTTTACCATTATGTAATGCCCTTGTCTCTTTTTATCTTTATTGGTTTAATGTCTGTTTTATCAGAGACTAGGATTGCAACCCCTGCTTTGTTTTCTTCTTCTTCTCCATTTGCTTGGTAAATATTCTTCCATCCCTTTATTTTGAGCCTATGTCACCACACGTGAGATGGGTCTCCTCAATACAGCACACTGATGTGTCTTGACTCTTTATCCAATTGCCAGTCTGTATCTTTTAATTGGGGCATTTAGCACATTTACATTTAAGGTTAATATTGTCATGTGTGAATTTAATCCTGTCATTATGATGCTAGCTGGTTATTTTGCCTGTTAGTTGATTCAGTTTCTTCATAGTGTCAACGGTCTTTACAATTTGGTATGTTTTTGCAGTGGCTGGTACCGATTTTTCCTTTACATATTTAGTGCTTCCTTCAGAGCTCTTGTAAGGTAGGCCGAGTAGTGACAAAATCTCTTAGTACTTGCTTTTGTATAAAGGATTTTATTTCTCCTTCACTTACGATGCTTAGTTTGGCTGGATATGAAATTCTGGGATGAAAATTCTTTTCTTTTAAGAATGTTGAATATTGGCCCCCACTCTCTTCTGGTTTGTAGAGTTTCTGCAGAGAAATCCACTGTTAGTCTGATGGGCTTCCCTTTGTGAGTAACCAGACCTTTTCTCTCTGGCTGCCCTTAACATTTTTTCCTTCATTTCAACCTTGGTGAATCTGATGATTATGTGTCTTGGGGTTGCTCTTCTGCAGGATATCTTTGTAGTGTTCTCTGTATTTCCTGAATTTGAATGTTGGCCTGACTTGTTGCGTTGGGAAAGTTCTCCTGGACAATATCCTGAAGAGGGTTTTCCAACTTGGTTCCATTCTCCCCATCATTTTCAGGTACGCCAATCAAACGTAGGTTTGGTGTTTTTACATAGTCCTATAATTTCTTGGAGGCTTTTTTCATTCCTTTTCATTTTTTTTCTAATCTTGTCTTCGTGCTTTATTTTATTAAGTTGATCCTCAATTTCTGACATCTTTTCTTCTGCTTGACCAGTTCAGCTATTGATACTTGTATATGCTTTATGAAGTTCTTGTGCTGTGTTTTATGTTCTTCTCTAAACTGGTTATTCTAGTCAGCTATTCCTCTAACTTGTTTTCAGTGTTCTTAGCTTCCTTGCATTGGGTTAGAAAATGCTCCTTTAGTTCAGAGCAGTTTATTACCCACCTTCTGAAGCCTACTTCTGTCAGTTCATAAAACTCATTCTCTGTCCAGTTTTGTTCCCTTGCTGTCAAGGAGTTGTTATCCTTTGGAGGAGAAAAGGTGTTCTGGTTTTTGGAATTTTCAGCACTGGTTTTTCCTCCTCTTTGTGGATTTAGCTACCTTTGGTCTTTGATGTTGGTAACCTTCGGATGAGGTTTCTAGGTGGACGTCCTTTTTGTTGATATTGACACTATTCCTTCCTGTTAGTTTCATCTAACAGGTCCCTCTGCTGCAGAACTGCTGGAGTTTGCTGGAGGTCCACTCCAGATCCTCTTTGCCTGGGAATCACCAGCAGAGGCTGCAGAACAGCAAAGATTGCTGCCCGTTCCTCCTCTAGAAGCTTCATCCCAGAGGGGCACCCCCCACCAGATGTCAACCAAAGCTCTCCTGTATGAGGTGTCTTTCTACCTTTGCTAGGAGGTGTCTCCCAGTCAGGAGGCATAGGTGTCAGGGACCCACTTGGGGAGCAGCCTGTCTCTTAGCAGAGCTCAAGCGCTGTGCTGGGAGATCCACTGCTCTCTTCAGAGCTGGCAGGCAGAAACATTTAAGTCTGCTGAAGCTGTGCCCACAGCCACTCCTTCCCCTAGGTGCTTATCCCAGAAGAATGGGAGTGGGGTTGCTGTCATTCTTTCAGAGATGCCCTGCCCAGAGAGGAGGAATCTAGAGAGGCAGTCTAACTGTAGCAGCTTTGCTGAGCTTTGGTGGGCTTTGCCCAGTTTGAACTTCCCAGCAGCTTTGTTTACACGCTAAGGGGAAAACCACCTACTCAAGCCTTAGTAATGGCAGACCCCTTCCCCCAACTAACTTTGAGCATCCCAAGTCAACTTCAGTCTGCTGTACTGGCAGTGAGAATTTCAAGCCAGTGTATCTTAACTTGCTGGCCTCCTTGGGGATGGGATCCACTGAGCTAGACCACTTGGCTCCCTGGCTTCAGCCCCCTTTCCAGGGGAGTGAATGGTTGTGTCTTGCTGGCATTCCAGGTTCCACTGGGGTATGAAAAAAAAACTCTTGCAGCTAGCTCAGTGTCTGCCCAAATGGCTGCCCAGTTTTGTGCTTGAAACCCAGGGCCCTGGTAGGCTAGGCCCCAGAGGGAATCTCCTGATCTGCAGGCTGTGAAGACCATGGGAAAAGCATAGTATCTGGGTCAAGAATGCCCTGTTCCTAATGGCACAGTCCGTCAACAGCTTCCCTTGACTAGGGGAGGGAGTTTCCCAACCCCTCAAACTTCCTGTGCCACACCACCTTGCTTCAGCTTGCCCTCCGTGGGCTGCACCCACTGTCTGATCAGTCCCAATGAGATGAGCCAGGTACCTCAGTTGGAAATGCAGAAATCATCTCCCTTCTGCATCAGTCTCACTGGGAGCTGCAGACCAGAACTGTTCCTATTTGGCCATCTTGCCAGCTGCCCCAGAAACCCATTTTTAGCAAAAACATTTCTATGTCCAAAAAGATGATTCACAGCAGCCATGTTTGGTTGACCTAGTCACAACTAATTTTCTACAGAAATAATCCTGGCAAAGTGTTTTTTGTAATTCCTCCATATGTAAAGTAATCCCCAGCAACTGTTCCCAGTTGTTATTTTACTGAGAGTAATATAATTGCCTGTTCAGTATTTGTCTCTTCCCCATGGTAGACTGTAAACTTAGTGAAACGAAGAACTATTTTGTTGACTGTTACATCCCCCACTCCTAGTACTTAGCACTTGTGTAAATATTGCCTAAATGACCTCTTAAGCCTCTAGTCTAAAGCTCTCCAGTGCACCTTGCAGTCTGCTAAAAGAATCTGCTTGGTGGTTAGGCTGATAATTCATTCAGATCTCATCTGAGACATATGTTGCCTTGTGTTATGGTCTAAATTGTGTCCTCCAAAATTCATTTGTTGAAGTCTGAGTACCTCAGAATGTGACTATCTGAAGACACAGGATTTAAAAATGATTAAGTTGAAACGAGGCCATTAGGGTAGGTCCTAAATCCAATCTGACTGGTGTCTTTGTATGAAGAGGAAATTGGTCCACACTGAGAGACTCCAGGGATGACAGGCACCGAGGCAAAGCCATGTGAGGACAGTAAGAAGGTGGCCCTCTGCAGGTGAAGGAGATAGGTCTCAGAAGAAACCAAACCTGCTTGCTCCTAGACTTAGTTGCCAGAAGTGTGAGAAAATAAATTTCTGTTGTTGAAGCTACCCCATCTGTGATGTTTTGTTATGGTAGCCCTGAGAAACTAAGATACTGTGATCCTAGGCAAGTTTCTTCACCAATGAAACCCTCAGTTTCTACCAGTAAAGTGGGAATGCCACCAACATCTTGCTGTTGTTGTTGAGCTATTTAAGAATTGACCTGGTAATGGTTATCAACTTAGTTTGTTGAGTGAATGACTAGTGCAGGAAGGGGTGGGAGTGTTATGGGTAAAGTTGAGGTGCAGAATGTGATGGATCCTAGAGAAGCTGCCTAAGCCCCTCCAGTTTGGGAGAAGACAAGTTGGGAAGTTTTGTAGCTGCTGCACCAACTTGGCCTAATGATGGCACGTGGTTCTTTAACAGTAAGAGCAGTAGGGAAAGGAACTGCTGCAGAATTTGATCTAAATGAACTTTTTATTTTTTTTCTGCCCAAGAGCTGGGTAAAAACAAATAGCCAACATAGGCATTTTAGTATTGCAAGTACTTTTAAAACCAAAGCAAAGGCTGGGCACAGTGGCTCACACCTGTAAGCCCAGGTCTTTGGGAGACAGGGGAGGGCAGATCACTTGAGGCCAGGAGTTCGAGACCAGCCTGGCCAACATGATGAAACCCGGTTTCTTCTAAAAATACAAAAATTAGCTAGGGATGGTGGTGCATACCTATAATCCCAGCTACTCAGGAGGCTGAAGTAGGAGAACCACTTGGGGAGGGAGGGGAGGTTTGCAGAGAGCACCACTACACTCCAGCCTAGGCAAAAAAGTAAGATTCCATTTCAAAAAAAAGAACCAAAATTCTTGAATACGAAATATTCTTTTGAAGAAACAGCAACTAAGGAGTTAGCTCCTTAAGACGCTGTCTACAGGGCTCTCTCTAAAGACTGAATAGTAAAATCCACATCTTTTGGAATAATAGCAAGCTCTTAAATAGCACTTCCAGTCTACATAGCACTGTTCTAAACACTGCATGTATTAGCTTATTTATTCTTCAAAATCATTTATAAAGTGGCTACTATTACGCTCACTTTACTAATGAGGAAATAGGTACAGAAAAAAAAAATCAACCTTACCTTGCCCAAGCTGATAATAGCTTCTAAGTGTAGAGCCAGTATTTGAACTTTCACTGCATCTATGGAGAGTCCTAAAAACTGACCAAGAAATCAAATATGATGACAATTTTACTAATCTCCTAAGAGAAATATGCAGTAACTCTTGCTTACAGCTTCTGCGGGAAAAATAATCCCACTAAACTCAAGCCTCAGTGTGCTCTTAATAACTGGAGGGCCAAACTTGGAACAGATCAAGACATTTATAAAAATTGATTATAGTCAATAGTCTGAATAACTCATCTTTTTCTAGGTGTCACCTTATCCTTTAATTTCTTATTTTGTATTTTTTCTCCTTTCGTCTTGGTTCTTCCTATCTACCTCTTCGCTGAAATATTCAGTTGAACTATATGAAATTGCTGATATTCAACCATGTTTGACCTACAAAAATGACAGCTTCATTTGGTTCAAGGTAATGTAAGAATGATATTTTCTATATTAAATTAGAAATCTAAAATTATAGTCATCATAATGCATATTGTTTCATTAATTATAAGACTCAAAGATGGTTTCTTACAATGTACCAATTGAGCAGAATTGACAAATTATCATGTACTTCAAGTACATAGGGTACTTTCTACCTAAAACAAAGGTTTTAAAAGATTCATATAATTAAAAGTAGAAAACAAAACTTTATTTGATGAAAACTTTTTAAAAGTTCCAGTATGAAGTAACAAAATCAACAACCTAGAAATCTCTTTCAGTCCTTTGCATTTCAAGCAAAATATTCTCTTCAGAAAAAAAATGACCATTTCATAATATATATCCCCTTCTGTAGGCTAGGCATGTATGAGTGAACAAATGGATATAAAATTCAAGAAAAAAAATGAAATATTTTAAAAATAAAAATCTGAACCTTTTCCTTGAGGTGTATTGTGATATGGTTACCAACATATTCAGCACCTTGTAATCACCAAGTTACTGATTTGAGTCCTGGAACAAGACCCTAAAATTAAAGAACAAGAGATCCTAGTCGTTTGTGAGTCACAGGTTGGCAGCAGAAGAAAAACTGACAGCAGCTACAGGAGCTCAAATATATGAAATTCACACTTCTGAAATATTTAATACTTCAAACAGCTAATTGTCTATATGATTTATAAAAGGAAACAGCTTGGAGTCTGGATTATGGATAGTTGTCCTCTGAGTGATTGGGAATTCCCTATACACCTTCAGTACTGTTAGCAACATATGTCTCCATATTGAGAGAGCAATCAAATATCAGGAGCTCCCATTTCACAGATAACCTTGGATACAGAAACTCAAGGTGCCAATTGTTCTTTTACTTTATCCCTAAGACAAATGTCATCTACACTTACAAAAGTCTTTCGAGACCTAAGGTTCTTGTCAATATTTGATTATAACAAACCGCATCAAGAAAGCCAAATATATCTGATTCAATGCACTGTCACCCATTTGCACCAATAGAAGGATCAGTTTCTTGAGTCTTTTCTCTCTTACCTCTTAGACTCCTGGGAACGTAACCAGGAAACAAATGAGGCAAGCAAGATCCTGCTGTAAATCAAAGAACTACTAGACTCATGAAATAATTTTAAATGCACTTTAACCATGAGTGAAAACTAGAAATTGATAGCCCCAATTCTTTTTAAGGGCAGATGATACTTTACATCTCAATCTTAGGAATGAAACTGTCTGTAACAAATGTCTAGGGATCAAGTCATAAAAAAGTCACTTCATGCTTAAGCATTTCACATCCTGATGCTATTAAGTGAACTTGTGTTTGACTTATTTAGACAGCAGTTTTATTCTGTGAAATTTTCTGTTCAGATTATTTATATGCGTTTAACTTAAAAGGACAATAATCTGTGCTTATCTGCTTATATATCTTAAATTACCCATCATAACCATATACAAGCCTAGTGTCTGGAGAACTACAAGGTTATTTTTTATACCACAAGATCTGCTCCTATTTAATGTAGACTTACTAAAATCTTCTACTGTCTTCATACAGTCCTGGATATATCTCATTATATATATTCATATATAATGCCAGTTGTTCAGTACAAGCATAGTCAATCATTCCCATCGTAATCACTGTAGCCCTGGTAACCACTGTTCCTTCTCTCATGGATACTAGACATCTTTTTCCAGGCTGAGTCCTGCTGGAAACTAGCACTGAAAGACCGACCCAGACGCCCATGCTGCTTCTTGGAAATATTGTCTTCACTCTCAGATTTGGCAATTCCCTGGGCATGTGTTGGAGGTTGTGATTCTTGTCTAATGGTTCCAAATGGAAAGTTCCAAATGCCAAATCTTTGCCAATTAAGTCTCTGGAATGCTATGATGCAATGCAAATTTCCTCCAACCTGAGAAGAAAAAAAAGTTGGGTCAAGAAAATAAAGGGAAATTAATTATACAAATTTATAGGTCCCTATGAACTCTCTTGTTTCTTTTTTAACTTCCCCTGCCTCAAAATGGTACTTTCCTTCCAGGCATCATCAGAACACATTATCCTGCACCTTTTCTGACAGCTGCCTTTATAAAATATAATAATACAAAATATAATGATGCCCACAGGAGCCAAAACACCTTCCTCCACCTGCCTCTCTACTACTCACTCCCAACACATACCAGAAAACTACCCCATCTGCTTAATTCAAACACCAAGATCATTCCTCTTCCTCTCTCTCCTATTCTTCATAAGGTCATATGAGTAAGGCTGTATCGGGCCAGGCACGGTGGCTCACACCGGTAATCCCAGCACTTTGGGAGGCCGAGGCAGGTGGATCACGAGGTCAAGAGATCCAGACCATCCTGGTCAACATGGTGAAACCCTGTCTCGACTAAAAATACAAAAACTTAGCTGGGCATGGTGGCAAGTGCCTGTAATCCCAGCTACTCAGGAGGCTGAGGCAGGAAAATTGCCTGAACCCAGGAGGTGGAGGTTGTGGTGAGCCGAGATTGCGCCATTGCACCCCAGCCTGGGTAATAAGAGCGAAACTCTGTCTCAAAAAAAAAAAAGACTGTTATCAATGATGTATCATTTCCTGAGAGCCTCCCCCAAAGCCTTGTTTATACACATGACTCTGCCACAAGGCCACAGTTAACCTGGCCCAAGCTGGGCCAAGACTATGGAACTGAACCCAAGACAGATTAGTCTCCGTCCAGACTGTTCATCTAAAAAAGAGACATAAATTGAAAGATAATGATCTTAAGAAGAAAGTAATCAAACAAAAGGAGAGGTAAGAACAACATATAGCCCCCAGAAGAGTGAAACCGACTACCAGATACTTGGCCCCTGCTATCATTCCAATACCTGTTACCATTCTTTTATGGCGCCAGGTTATACTCCTGGCCCTTGGGTTTTAAAGACAGCCCTGTGTCCTTAAAATAATTTTCAGTCCTCCATCAAATATAGTTTTCTGTTATTTACAACCTGAAGGGTGCTAAGTAAAACACTGCATTTTGGTCAGCTGGGAAATGCCTTCAAACACAATGGTGTTCTTCTTACCTTCTTTGTTTTTCGATACTGCAGTCCCCTCTCTAAGTGCCGGATATCCAGGTATTCTGGATTTTGAGTGTTTAGATCAGTAACAATATCTGCCCATCTATAGTTAAGAAGAAAGGATAAAGCACAGTTTTCGTTAGGTCCAAAGTATCACTGAAATGGAATTTTTCACCAGCAAATTGCTGCAATATTATCACAGCAGTAACTGGCAGTAATTCTCTTATCTCAGCATCATTTCATTTACTAAACTGTAATAACTTCTTGTTTTATGACAATTCTGTTTATCCAACCATTGCCAAGGTTCTCAGTATACGATTGGTTACTCTTCCTATAGAATAAATAAATACCAACATGTTAGATGGCATCCTGTAGGCTAAAGCAACAACATGCTATATCTCTATCTACTTTTCCATCACAGTCAAGTCCACTTTTAAAAGAATGTAAAGTTAATGTGTCTTCTTTAGCAGACAACACAATTGTGCAGAAAATTCAAGGGAATTACAAAACAACTACTAGAACTAATAGGATTTGCTAAAGATGTAAGATTCAAGGTCTATACAGCAACATCAATTGTATTTTTGTATTCAATCTGCAAATAATGAGGAAATGAAATTTTTTTAAAATCTATTTACAATAGTATCAAAAAGTATAACACACAGAGGAAAAATGTTATTGTAATGTCTTTTTTAAGTTTTATTTCAATTGTTTTTGTGTTATAGGTGGGTTTTGGATACATGAATAAGTTCTTTGGTGGTGACTTCTGAGATTTTAGTGCAGCGTACACTGTACCCAATATGCAGTATTTTAGCCCTCACCCCATCCCAGACTTCCCCCCAGAATCCCCGAAGTTATTATATCATTCTTATGCCTTTGCCTCCTCATAGCTTAGCTCCCACCTAAAGTGAGAACATATGATATTTGGTTTTCCATTCCTGAGTTACTTCGCTCAGAATAATGGCCTCCAACACAATCCAAGTTGTTGCAAAAGACATCAGTTCATTCCTTTTTTATGGCTGAGTAGTACTCCCTGGTATATAAATATCATATTTTATTTATCCACTCATTGGCTGATGGGCACTTAGGTTGATTCCACATCTTTGCAATTGCAAATTGTGCCACTATCATCATGTGTCTGCCTGTGTCTTTTTCATATGATTTCTTTTCCTTTGGGCAGATACTCAGTAGTGGGATTGCTGGATCAAATGGTAGATCTACTTTTAGTTATTTAAGGAATCTCCATAATGTTTGCCGTAGTGATTGTGCTAATTTACATTCCCACCAGTAATGTAAAAGAACACACTGAAAAACAGTGTTTAACAAAAGACATAAAACTCCATGCTGAAAATTTTTTTAAAATGCTGAGAGAAATTAAATCTCTAAGTAAAGGTATGGTCCATGTTGTTATAATGTCAATTCTCCCAAAACTAAACTGTGGATCAATTATTTATTTATTTACAAGACAGGGTCTCATCTTGTCACTCAGGGAGGAGTGCAGTGGTGCAATCTCAGCTCACAGCAACCTTAACCTCCCAAGCTCAATTGATCCTCTCACCTCAGCCTCCCAAGTAGCTAAGACTACAGGTACATGCCACCATGCCTGGCTAATTTTTATAGTTTTAGTAGAGACAGGGTTTTGCCAGGTTGCCAAGGCTGGTGTCAAAATCCTGGGCTGAACTGATCCTCCCACCTAAGTGCTAGGATTACTGGCATGAGCCACCACACCCAACCTAAATTATGAATTCTGTAGATTCTATCCTAATCAAAATCTCAACAAGCTTTTTAGCCAAAAGACAAATTCTAAAATATTTATGGAAAAACCAAGGTCCTAGAAGAGCCAAAACAATCTAAGAAAAATTCAGAGGATTCATGCTATCTAATTGCAGGATTTAGTATAAACTATAACCATTGAGTGTGTGGCATTGGTTAAAGGACAGGCAAACAGATTA